TCTCCAAGTCTTTTGTGGACATATGTTTTCATTCCTCTTGGGTAGCCACCTGGGAGTGCAATTGCTGGGTAACAGAGTAGTTGTGGATGTGTGCTCAGTCTATGAAAAATTTGTCCGACTTTTCTCCAGGGTGGTCATATCATCTTATGCCCACCAGTAAAGTATGGCAATTCATATTCTCACCAACATTGGATATCCTAAGTCTTGTTTTAGCCATGATGGTGGATATGTGGTGGTATCTTGCAGAGGTCATAATTTTTTATTAATTTTTTTCTAATTTTTACTAATTTTCACTAATGATATAGAGCACTTTATCACATGCATATTGTCTATTTATGTAGCTTTCTTTGCAAAGTGTCTTTTTTATTTTTATTTTTTTATTTTGATTTTTTTAAAGATTTTATTTATTTATTTGATAGACAGAGATTACAAGTAGGCAGAGTAGCACGCTGAGAGAGAGGAGGAAGCAGGTTCCCCGCTGAGCAGAGAGCCCGATGCGGGGCTCGATCCCAGGACCCTGAGACCACGACCTGAGCCGAAGGCAGAGGCTTTAACCCACTGAGCCACCCAGGCGCCCCACAAAATATCTTTTTAAAATTGTGTTTGTCCTCTTATTTTTGAGCTTGAACTCTTCATATGTTATGGAGATATAAGTTCTTTGTCAGCTATCTGTGTGCATGTGTGAGCATATATACACTTTTATGGATTCATAATATTACAGTTTTTATTTTTTCATTTTTAATATTTTTCAAAGATTTTATTTATTTATTTGAGAGAGTGAAAGTGAGAGAGATCACAGAGGGAGAAAGAGAAGCAGACTCACCACTGAGCAGGGAGTCTGCTTTGATCCTAGGACTCTGAGCACATGACCTGAGCCGAAGGCAGACACTTAACTGACTTTTCTAAGTGATATTTTTAATGAGGAGTTGTTAATTTTCGTAAGACTGATTTATGGTTATTGCTTCCTGTAGTCTAAGAAATCTCTGCCTAACTGGATTATGGAGACCTATTGTTTTGTTTTAGAAGTTTTATAGTTTTCCCTTTTACATTTTGGTCTTTGTTCTTTCTGGAATTAATTTTTGTGTAAGGGGTTGAGGTTCATGGTTTTTCACATGAATATCTCGTTATTCCATCAGCATTGGAGAAGACTTTCTCCCTGGATCGCTTTGATTCCTTTGCCAAAAATCAATTGACCGTGTAAATGTGGGTCTATTTTTGGCTTTCTTATTTTCTTTTTCTTTGGCTGTTGCAAGTCCTTTGTATTTCCATATACATTTTTCAACAGACTTTATTTTTTTACAGAAAAGTTGAGAAGGTAGTACCAAGAGTTTCCTGTGCTCAGTTTCCTCTGTCGTTGATATCATTTATTATCATAGTGCATTTGTTACAATTAATGAATCACTGCCGATGCCTTATTATTAACTAAAGCACATTGTTTATTCAGATTCCCTTAGTTTTTACCTAATTTTTTTTCTGTTCCAGAACTCCCAATCCCATTTTTACCATATTACACTTAGTTGTTATGTCTCCTCAGGTCCCTCTTAGCTCGTCAGTTTATCGTCAGACTTTGGTTTTTGATCACCTTGGTAGTTTTGAGGGACACTGGTTGGATGTTTTGTCAGATCCCTCTTTGTGGGACTTTAATGTTTTTCTCCTGATTAGAGTTGGGTTATAATTTTTTGAGAGAAGAATACAGGCAAAGTACCATTTTTATCCCATATCAAGAGTATGTATATGAACACGACATATTCCTTTAATTATTGACATTGACTTCGATGTTGATCTTGATCACCTGGCTGAGCTAGTGTCTGTGAAGTCTCTCCGTGGTCAGGTTACCCTTAGGGAGAAAGTCAGATTGAATGGCGGAGTTTTACATTCCCCTCCTTGAAGACAGAGTATCCACGTGATTTTTTTGGAATTCTGCCTGAGAGAGTAGACTCTTCTCCCTCATTTATTTATTTATTCAATCACTGATTTTTTTCTGTAAGATTTTGAATTTTTGAGTTGAGACTATTTATTGGCTCTGTATAGGATCCATCTTGATGGACATTTCGTATGTACCTGGACCTGAAAAGCGTATTTTTCTATAGTTGTCGGGTTTAGTGTCCTAAAAATGTAAGTTCTGTGAAGTTCATTAATAGTGTTTCTCAGGGGCACCTGGGTGGCTCAGTGGGTTGGGCCTCTGCCTTCAGCTCAGGTCATGATCTCCGGGTTCTGGGATCGAGTCCCGCATCGGACTCTCTGCTCAGTGGGGAGCCTGCTTCCCTTCCTCTCTCTCTGCCTGCCTCTCTGCCTACTTGTGATCTCTGTTTGTCAAATAAATAAATAAAGTGTTTCTCAGATATTTCTATCCTTACTGATTTCCTTTTTAAAAGATTTTATTTATTTAAGAGAGAAAGAGAGAGAGAGCACAAACAGGGAAAGCATCAGAGGAAGAGGGAGAAGCCGGCTCCCTGACGAGCAGGGAGCCTGACATGGGGCTCGATCCCGGGGAGACACTTAACAAACTGAGCCACCCAGCCGTCCCACTATTTATTCTTTCCTTTCCAATCTACTTTAAAGGTTATTTAATAATTTTTTTCTTTCCAGTTATTGTTCTTTTTCAAGTATAGATTTTTTAAAAATTTCCTGAGATTCCTGATCTGTTTATTCTTTGCTGTCATACTTTCCTTTAAAACCTCACATGTATTTATAATAGCTGCTTTAAAGTTCTTGCCTGCTAATTACAACATCTGGGTTGGTTTCTAGGGATTGTATTTTCTCTTGACTTGGGGCCATTTTCCCCTTTTTCTCACAGGGTATGGGTGATACTATGTATGGAGTCTGGTTTATGTCATCTTCCTTTAAATGGCATCGAGTTTGTTTTGAAAGACCGTTAAATTAGCGGCAGAGCATTGTGGCCTTGTCAGGCATGGTGTGATTCCCTGTTACAGCAGGTCTGTTTCAGTTTCAAATTTAGTTTTTGGGGTGTGTCCTCTTAAGGGCCCATTCTAAAGATGTAGCCTTTCAATGTCTCAGTTAAATGTTGATGTGCTCAGTGAGCCCCTTCACCCTGGCCTCGTTGGACCTCTGATAGTTCTCAGCATTTTTATGGCCTCTGGTATCACTCCCTGCTCATCTCCCAGTTCTGTAGCAGAAGGTCTTTGTAGGGTCTTGCTGAATTTTGCCCTGTGCAGGTGCAACCCAGCCCTTGGCCAGAGGCCTGCTGCGAACGCGCAGACTGTGACAGCTCCCCTCCGCGCAGCTCGCCTTCCAGCGCCCCTGCCCCCACGAAGCCAGCTGCTTTCTCAGAGCAGGGCAGTTGCCGCCCCTGCCTGGGCTCCGTCTCCTCCATGTTGTGAGGACAGGAGAGGTGATCATGGGGACTTGCTGCTTTTCTCCCAAAGATGATAGTCTGAAAACAATTGCCTCATCTATTCTGTTTTCTAGCTGTTTGGGTAGATGGCACATCTGGTACCAGTTCTGTCTTATGGCCGGAAGTTAGGCAGTAAGTTAGGATGTGTGCAAGTTATGCACAAACAGTAAGTATTTATACAAATACGTGTAAGGGCTGTGATGCTATCTTTATCCCACCAGGATTTATAATTGTAAGGACAAGATAAAGATTAGGCTTTAAATACTGGGTGTCCTGCCTATGGTTAGATCTCTGAAGCTTCTAGCAGCCGGATTGCACAATGTATCATAAAAGTGGGATGTACACATTTTTCTTCACTTACCTTCTCCCACTCTCACCCCACTAACTGTGTTGTGTTAAAAGTTTTAAATTTTCCTCTCTTCAGGGAGAACTTTCATGGACAGAGAACAGAACTCTTCCAAGCCTGTGGAGGGGCAATGTTTATAGGACATCTTTTCTCTACAGCGTTTAATTCTCCTTCTGTAATGGAAGGAAGACCTATTTATTCCAAAATGGTTACTTTGGCACTGTTCTATTTGGGCCAGAAATAAAACAGAATCACTTATCCCTTCTGCCTTTTATTTCAGAAATACTATGGAGGGATGAACCTTAGAAGCAGAGGCGATGTTAAAAACAAAAACAGGAGAAATTTTAAAACAATAATCTGCCTTTGGAAAGTCTTAACGTTTTATGTGATTAAAGAAATAAGGCATTTGACCTCTAGTCCTGTATCTGTCCTGATTCCTGTCCCTCACCCTTCTCTGTGGTACAGAGGACTTGGTATTCAGACTCTTGGATGCAGTCAGAAGACAGTCTGGGGTTGTCAGAAGATCATTCGAAGGCGGGTTAAAATAGCAAACGTGGCACTAAATTCTTTTACGTTTTTTATGGAAAGAGGCTAGGCAGTGAAAACTAACTGTAGTCTTGAGCTGATGTAAATTTGAATACAAATGTGTATTTGTATGTAATTGTGATGTAAAGGCCTCGTGGGCATCTTTGCTCCCTGTGTTTGGGGAGTTGTCAGGTAGAGATGAAAGAACGAATTCTAGGGGCCCCAGCTTCAGAAAGAGAAGTGGGTTCATTATCTTAGTGTCCTGCTACGAGGTCTCATAGGGCAGTAACACTGTGTCCAGTAAGTACATCGCAAATTATTCACTGGGATATTGACGTGGTTAACTCTGTGGGTATTTTCCAAATACAAAATTCTCTCCTTAAAACACTTCTGAGCTGGAGTGATCAGAAATTCAGGGTCGATAAAAAATTTTCCTTGCTTTCAGTAATGCTGTCAATCAAAATTGCTGAGTCCACTTATGAAAGGCAAGGACTGACTTTTAAAATTCTGACACTCTATTTGAATTCAGTATTGTGGTCTCTGGATTTTCACAGTGCTGCCCTCCCATAATCCCTTTCGTTATCATATTCTGACATGATTTCATGTAGTAATACAGAGAGGAAAAAGCTAACAGAAGCTGAGATAAATTTTATTTTTCTTTCAAACAGAAGAAGGAAAAAAGGTGGGGTTACACTTTTATAAATATCTATAAATATTGAGCGATAAGCAAATTTTCCAAATAAATAAATAAATATTGCCACATGCTAAGGAACGTAAGAAATTGTGGGGACCACCCCGGCTCTGCCAAAGGAAGAACCCCTAATAAATGGTATTGCGTGTATAAGATAATGACCAGTTTTCTGCCAGAGTCCTTTCTGGGATTTTATGTCTAGTTATCAGTATGGGGGAGCTTCCAAAAGCTTATAAACAGTGTAATATCTCTATCAGGAAATGAAAACTATGGAGAAAATATTTGCCATGCACTGCTATATGGGAGCATACATAGTTTTAGCATTTCAGAATAGGAACCAGTCCTTCAAGTTCAGCTTAAAACCATCAAGTGAAAAGAGTTGTCCGATATTTCAGAAGTAAAAAGAACGGATTTGTTTCTAAGGCTGGGTGCATGATGGCAGTGGGAAAAAGCAAGGTGATGTGAAGAAGCTGTTGCTAGCTAGCATTCTGCTCTGTGGGCGGCCATCTAACAGAGGTAGGAACATGGGAACCCCCAACCCCCGCCACTCCATAGAAAGACTCTGAGTCAGGTGCTAAGGCTAGGTAGAGGGAGGCTGAGCATCAGGCCCACCTGGCTGGTGCCTCAGCTGTTGGGTAAGTGAGGATGGGTTTTCACGGAACCAAAAACTGTCTTCATGTAATGCCCCCAGAATTTGCAAGTGGCCAAGACCGGAACATGTCAGCCCAGGAGTGTTTACCTCTGGAGCCAGTGCTGGAGAGCTATAAGCAGAGCATAGAGAAGAGCCGACAGTGTTGTCTTTGGGTAACTCCTACATTTTGGTCCCCTGATTATCGGACTTCTTTTCCCCTGAGTCCTTGATGCCACTTCACTTCCACAGAAAATGGAACCCAAGAGCAATCCCATTGTCCCAAGATTCCCTCCCTGTGTCGGTTTGGTACTTAATCCTGAATGCAATACTACTCAGCTGGGAAGTAGGCTTCATAAATGCCTCAGAGGGGAATTTGAATTTATTTCCATTTAAAAATTTATTAAAAAAAAAAAATTTCCATTTCCTAGCAGGGGAGATTTTCATGAGCCAATGCCAAAGCTCTTCCCCTGGCCAAATTCACTAAAGCCCAAGACGGGGCCCATAGACAGGGTTATGTCACGGTCTGCTTGGGAGCAGGCAGGGTCCTTCTCGTCCCTTCGGCTCTGCCTACATAGAAGGGGAGAGAGCCTGGCAAGGGGGGTCCACTCCATAGGGAGTTTGAATTTTCTAGCTTGATTTCTTGCCTCGGTTGTCCCAGCGTTCTAGTTCCCTTTTGACCAGCCTACTGCCCATCTTTCTGACAGCTCTTCTCCAGAGATGCTCAAGGAAGAGAAAAGCCTTGAGATTAGGATTTTACCAATTTGCCCAGGTCAGCTGTTAATGCCCTAGTCAAGGTTGCAGACTCAAATGCCAACAGGGTCGGGCGGGGCTGGTGCCACAAACGTCAGGAGCAGTGGAGATGCTGCTGGCATTGGCTCTTCCCTTCACCTTCCAGGCGGTGAGCTCACTAAGCCTGTGCTTGGGTTTTAATGCTGGACTGATGAAGAGGAGAGGCATAGGGAAGAGGAACTGCCTGGGGTGTTGGGGGGATGGGTGGTGGTCGGGGTGGGAATCCCTCTCTCCTTCACCAAGGCGAAACTTCTAGTTTTATCTTTCTGGGCTTCAGAGTTCGGACAGGTGGCATAGGCGGGGTGGGGAAGGCGGTGAAACCGCCATGACTCAGGCCTTAAAGGTACATTCTCGGGGGACCTCCTGGCGCTAACTGCCCGCTCCACCCCCACCTTCCCATTCCCTGCACTGCGGAGGGCGCGGGTCCCCCTGAAGACAGTTTGGTTTTCTGAAAGGCTGCTGGGAAAGGATTCCTTTTTGGTTTCCCTAGATGAACTTGGGGAAGGGCCGGCACCTGTCCACGCCCATCCCCCCCGCGTGCACGTTCACCCGGTTGCCTCTGAGCACCCCTAATGGGTCGCTGGCCACCACACTGTTGTCCTCAGCGCTCGGGAGCTCCTGAGAGCAGGAGGCCGGTGCGGGGGTCATGCGGGGCCGGGGCTTCAGCACGTTCAGCGGGTCGTGCTCCATGTCCTCGGCGCTGCGCGTGTGCCGCCGCGGTCTGGGGGTGTTGAAGTGGATGAGGGGGATCTCGTTCCTCCGGGACAGGAACTGGGAGTAGGGCGGCGGGTTGGTGCCCGGCAGGAAGGCCCTCTTGGCCTGGCCCAGGCTGACGAGGAAGCGGTGCTGCGGGGAGTGGTACACGTCGTAGCCGTTTTCCAGTGTCCGCTGTCGGAACCTGCAGCTCTCGGGGCTGAAGAGGTGCTGAAAGGGAAGGCGGTAGGGTGAGCGCCCCGCGTACCCCGGGCCGCTTGCTCCGCCCCCGGACTCCGCCAGCCCCTCCAGGGTGGGGGTGCTGGGCCTGGCTTAGCCCTCCCTGCGGGGCTCCATCAGGGGGCCGTCCTTAACCCCTCGCTCCCTTCTGCGGGGGATCTGGCCTGCGCTTTCCAGTTGCCCAAGCAGGCAGCACGTCTGGGAATTGCAGGGAGCGGCAGCGGCGTCCCCCACAGCCCCCGAGCCCGGGGCCCTCCGCCCGTCCTGCACCCGCTGGCTCGGCTCTGGGCTGGCCACCGCAGCCCTTTGTTCAGCTTCTGGAGGGACCGCCAACTTCAGTACAACCAGGGCCCTCCCGCCTCTGCCTTTGGCTGGAAGTTGGCTTGGGTCTGTCTCCTTGCCTGGAGAAAGGACGGGGGATGGGATTTGTAGGGTCAGACATAACTGAGGGTACTCACACTCAGAGATAATGTCCTTTGGGATTTGGGGCTGGGAACTCTGGCAACAGATGACTAGGTTTGAACCCTCACTCTGCCACTAACTAGTACTGGGTTTTACCGAAAGCCTTCTAGGACCTTCGCATGTTGTTTCTGTTAATCCTCAAACTCCACGGAGTGTTTTTACAGATGAGGACTATCTATATGCCTAAATGTGGTCCAGAGATATTTTAATTGAATGCCTATATTGTTCCACAAAGAGTTGTCTACTTGTGGCCAGATACTGTAGTAGGTGCTGGGACACGGCAGCAAGCCAAACAGGAAGTCATTGCTGTCATGGTATTTCTAGTGGGTCTGTCTGGTGGTAAGAGGTTCCTGAGATGAGCAGTCCTCCTACGGTATGATCTCAAAATCCTTTGGAATATGCCTGCAACCTGTGGTTTGGGAAATCCTATGCTTACCAATCTGAATGACCAGCGACCACAGTTAAGGCAGAGATCATTCATGAGAGGTCTTCATTTTTTTCTAATTTTTAATGATTTTATTTGTTTATTTGACAGAGAGAGAGGGAATGAGCACAAGCAGGGGTGTAGTGGCAGGCAGAGGGAGAGGGAAAAGCAGACTCCCTGCTGAACAAGGAACCAGATGAGGGACTCGATCCCAGGACTCTGGAATCATGATCTGAGCCAAAGGCAAGTCCCCAACTGACTGAGCCACCCAGGTGTCCCCATGACAGATCTTTAACTGGAGGGAGATCCCAATTTACTTCTTCCAGGTGAGGAAACTGATGTGGAGAAAAGTGAGGGAACCAGCCTGAGGTCAAGAAGGTGTTGTAAAAGAATCAGGAAGACACGCATGGCTTCTCACTAGAGGACCCATGTACAAGGTGCTGTGTAGATGCATAGATGGGTGCCCGTAGGCGATCAGACTAGAGGCTAAGAACTCCAGAACCAGACTACGTGGGTTCAAGCCCCAACTGCATAAACCTGAACATCTGCTACTTAGGTTGACTAAATAACTCCGTGAAAACATCACCAAGCACTGCCAATGGAATCTTTCTAAGATTTTATGTTCCGGCAAAGAAACGGATTATCTTTAAATGGTGGCCAGCCCAAAAAAGAAACTCACGGATCCAAAGATGTTGCCTCTGAAGTCCATACAGAGGTACCGCCTGCTCATCACCCCTGTGATCACCACAAAGCCAGCATCCTCTGATCGGATCATCAGGGCACCTACGGAGAAAATCATCGAGGTCAAAACCTGGCTGCATGTCCCATTCCTAACTTCGAGCCCTTCCTGAAAACGCACCTGCCTGAAAACTTGCTGGGTGGATTCTCAGCGTGCTGATTTCACTTCACCCTCCCTTGTCCTTACTTGTTCAGCTTCATTTCTTCTGATTCCCCCCTTGCAAACTCCCACACCCCCCGCCCCCCTGTTTGCCCCCTACTTCCACCTCGTGTCTGTACGGAGTACTCTGAACTCCCAGCATTCTCTCCTCCGTGCCGGACATGTGTTTCCCTCTCCCCTGTTCTGTCTCTACTTCCCCCATTGCCCGGCTAATGCCTCTTCATGTCTGTGGCCGTCATCACGCTCTCACAAGCCTTCTGGGCTTTTGGGATTTTTAAATCTACACCGAGATGTCCTTTAAGGATCCAGCTTGTATATAAAGCCTGATGTTCACTCAGGGATCTGCACGGTAGTCCATGATCCCTCACGCAACACCCGTTATGAATCCAGAACTGTGTGAGAATTGATCTCCCCCTCCCTTCTCTGCTTATTGAAGTCTCTCATCCTTCCAGGCCAGGCTCAGATGTCACTTGCTATGAAGAATTTCCTAATCTCCCTATTCAGAACGAATGCCCTCACCTGCATTACAGAGTGTACGTCATTCACCCGACCTTGACCAAGTTCAGGTTATCTAGGGCCTCCCCTAGAGTGAGCTCCCTGGGAGGAGAGGGCTTATTTCTCTGTGTCTATTAGATACCATGGATGGACAGAATTTCTTCTTGGGTCTTTACTGCTACTCTCTGTCCTTCCTCTTCTTGCTTGGTGGTGTCCACTCCAGGTCAGTCCCTCATGGTCCTTCAGGGTCCCCACTCAACAACCAATCTCCAACAAGGGCCTAAACCCCACACATACCACCCACACTTTAAATAATCAGTAACTGCCTGCTCTCGTGTAATTTTAACAATTGCAATGCATTGTACCAAGGACCAGTTAAAGTCTAAAGCTGTTTTGTGGCAAGAGTATCATTCAGCAAGAGTTCCACCCCAAATGCTGCTTAATTACCTGACATTTTCTGCTAAAAATCATTTAAGTCTTTGGAGTCACTTGCATTTACTTACCACAGAATTTCCATATGCGTCTCCTTTGGCCTCACAACCCCCTGGCAGCTGTTCGAACTTCTGTTTTAGAAAGGTAGTATGGAGAGGTTGAAAATGCCCAGGATCTGTGCCCAGGAAGTGGGGTGACTTACACCTGGGTCTCCGCCCTTTCCCTGAGTAGGCTCAACTCTGAGGAGAGTAGCAGACAATACTTAGACCCCAGCTGAGGATAGAGCTTCGTTTGGACTAAAATTGGAATGATATAGGACAGAGGGAGGGAAGGTGGGAGCAAGCCCAGAAAGATGAGAAAGCAAGAAGGCCAAGGAGAAACATTAATTTGTTCCCACGTTTGGCTAAGGGTCAGCCTTGAGGGAAGCTTCTGGAAGTGGGGTGGGGTATAGGAGGTGCAGAGGTTATTTAAATTGCCCATAATGAGGTCTGCCTATGGGTCTCAAAAATGGCTAATCCTAGGACAAGCTCTGAGAGAAACAAATGTGTAAAAATAAGTTTCTGTCCTGATGAATTTTCAGTCTAACTGGGAAAAAATTACACATAGTCACTGGTTTTGAGTGGTTGCACTTAGGTACTTTACAGATTTTAAATTCTCAAAACAACTGGGATCTGGTTAGTCTTATTAGTATTAACATGGGTGCCAGCAGCATCCCCATTTATGTGCAGAGGCAGGATTTAAGGTGAGGACAGCCATTCTAACATCCTCTTCCTACAACCCAGCAATCACCTCCAACAGAAACCACCCCCAGCCTGAGGAGACAAAACCAAGTGCCAAGATCCGTGGAACCCGTGAGAACCCCAAGTCACACTGCCCCTGAGAGGGTCAGGGAAGGGGCACTGAGCCAGGAACCAGGGCACGTAGATTCTGGTCCCAGTTATGCCACTTCCTAACTCAGTAGCCTTGGACAAGTCATTGTTCCAGCCTCGGGTTCCTTAGCTGTGTAAAGAGGGTGATAGTAGCTGGCCTGCTGACTTTACAGGGTTCTGATCAGAAATAAACGCAATGGTGGTTGGAAAAGTGACTTTTTTCAAGGAGCATGGAGCAAATGGAAGGCATTAGGTAGCATGTGCTGGCCTGCCACTTATGGCAAGCCCAGACTTGGGCAGCCACGCGGGTCTGGTGCTCGGGGTCGGCGTGGGCCGTGTGCGAGCCACGGGAGCTCCTGGGCTCTGGGGCTGGTCCCAGTAGCAAACAGCCTGGAGGGGAACCTTGAGCAGCTGCTACAGATGATGCACAGTCTTGAGTCAAACCAATAGGAACCAATGAGAAAGTGCAAAAAAGGGAAGAGACAGGTGGCCTTCCCTTTGCCTGTGCGGAAGGCGTGTTTTCACAGGCCACGGAGGTTCTCGGGCAGAATCTGGCAGAAGGAAGGCACGACAACCTATTGCAGCCAGGTGGGCCTAATGGACTGGCCTGTGATCCCAAAAGAAGCATGGGGTTGGGTGACCTCGAGCCAGTGTAGCTCCTTAACCTTTGTTTTTCAGAGGTAGTGGGATCGTTGACCTCGTTTGGTCATCTTGAGGGTGTAATGAGATAATATTTTTCTCCACAATAAAAACACTTTCTAGAATGCTAGTAATTTTACTATTGCCACTTGCCTTCACTCTGCTCTAGAAGTGGGAAATTATCGGAGCACCTGGGTGGCTCAGTTGGTTGACCGTCCAACTCTTGATTTGGGTTCAGGTTATGATCTCAGGATCCTGGGATTTGTGCCCAGCAGGGACTCTGCTTGAGGATTCTCCCCCTTTCCCTCTTCTTCTGCCCCTCCCCTTATGCTCTCTCTCTATCAAATAAATAATAAATCTTAAAAAAAAAGTAGACAATGATTGGCTCTGTTCTATTCTCATGCTGGTAAATGATGATGGTGGATGTAAAGTGCTTCGAGCTCCTGGAAAGAAAGATACTATTTTGCAAGATTAAAGAGCCCCAGGATAATTCAGCTTCAAGTAGAGAGAGCACCAGTGGGGAAAATGGAAGAAGGAAAAATATCAGGATCTTGGACGTGGTATTAACCACAGGGAGTAGGCATCTCTTCTGCTGTTTTCAACAAAAGGGGGATGGTGGGGAGTGGGAGGGTGGCCTTCTTCATAGTAGGATCAGAGACACAGATATCAGAGAGGCTCTCTGACATCAGTGCTGTGAGTCCCAAGGGAAGTTATAGAATCTTACAGGCAGGTAATTTCACAATGACTGACAACCCAAAGATGGGTTGGGCACTCAGCTATTAATCAAGAATTGCCTAAAGCACAATGATCAAATGAACCATATTTCACCAGCAAGGTATAATTAATTAGGAGGGATAAAACACCACACACCCTCCATCAGTGTAAGCATATCCTCCACCAGTCTGTGAATGACTTGTGCTACTTATCTGCACGCCTCAGTGTTTCCTTTTTCCGTTTTTGCTTTTGACCTTTGTATATACATTTATTTGGGTAATGACACAATGACTGATTTGAATAGTATAAAGGGTTATGTGAAGTAGGACAAGTAAGTCTCCTTCCCCCCACCAGGACCCCCCAACCCGAGTTGCCCTCTGATGATTTATGTTGATTTCTAGAGACATAATTCTTGGCTATTGTCTACATCTGACAAAATAAAATCATTCCTAACAACAACAAAAAAGTCTGAAATAATTTCCCTGCATTTTGCTTCTTCTCAATCATTTTAATTCACTCCCCACTGGAATGAGTGCCTCCTCTGAGCCTGATGCCAGTAGATATTTGAGGAAAGAGTTCTCCAGCTCAGGCTGCTGGCTTATAGGCAGAGCACTCACACTGTTCCACACACATCTCACCAGAGCCTTCTCACATTCTCTCCATCATGCTCGAGGACGTGTCTTTGAGGGTTTCTTTCAGTAAAAGCTTTTGTTAAATATCTCTTGAATAAAATGAGCAACACTTTGTATGCACCAAGTGTATCCAGATTTAGTGCAGATTTTTGCCATTAAACTCCAATCTGGTTTCCCAAATGTTGTCTCCCGAACCCTACCTCATCCCCTGGAGTTCTGGAAACTGCCTGGTACTTGCAGAGAACTTTGGTCCCTCCTCTCATCTCCCATCATCATCCATTGAGCACTTGAAGAGGTAGGCACGGCTGGCTTTCCCTGTGCATGTATCTTGCTACAGTTTGAGGGACCTTTGATTCCGCACAGCAAGGTCACAGAAAATTATCATTTAGTTCAGTACAACAATAAGGGCAAATCATTATTCCCATAAGAAGTTTCTTTTAATGAAACAGAGACCGTGAATACTCTGTCATTCCTTCCATTTGCTCTAGGTTGAATCAGCTTGCATTCTTCTGTATCCTCGATGTACCTTTGACACATTCTTGTGAAGTAGAAGACCTTGTCTTTTTCCATACTCCTCCCCCTCTCACCACAGAATCCCCGATATAGGTGCTCACGAAGGCTCCCTCATTTGAATCACAGCTAACTGATCAACTGTGGACTGTGATCCAGCTTGTCGCAAACCTAAACCTTAAAATCATTCCAGTGGCCTCATGTTGCCAAGCAGTTCCCAACAAGGTCAATCTGCCTCTGAGTGGAAATTTCAGCTCCACAGAGAGGAATCACCAACCGATAGCAAACTGGGTACCTCTGAAGCCCCCAGGAAACATGCTGGAAGCATGGATGCATGGACGGTTCATGTGCTTGGTCAGACCCATCAAGACAACACACCTGGACAGTCTGTCTTTAGTTCATCTTTCCTGAGAAGTTTTATCAGACCAGAATATTAGAAACTCAGAGTTGGAAAGAGCCCCTGAGTTCATCTATCCCAATCCTAGGTCTGATACAGGAATCTTCTCTGTAACCTCCATTGTTAGCCCTATCCAAAGTTTATGAGCCAAACTCAGTGTCAATGACCTATCTGGTTTTTCCCCCTCTCAGCTTCCTTGCCTTTCTTTCTGTGCATTTTTGGACTCTTTGTATAGGACAAAGTGAGAGTGCTGCTATTGTGGGAAGAGGGATTATAGTTAAGACAAATTAATCGTGTTGGAAGAAACAAGTAAATGCTAATTAAGAATCTTCTCCCAGGGGGCTAAGCACACATGTGTGCATGTGCACACACACACACACACACACACACACAACTGGATTCCAGGCAAGAAGCTAGGAGGCTGGAGTAGTACTCTGGTCTAGCCCAAGGCCTCCCCAGATCCCTTGGAGGTGGGTGGACGGAGGAGCTCTCCATCCTTCCCGGTCGGAAAAAAGCCCGTACTCCCCCTACTCACTGTAGATGGTCTGGTGGGGTGTGCCATCCACACGGCCATCCTTGTGGATCTGCAGGTGGTAGCTGTTCCTGGCGGTGGCCGTGTACAGGTGGGTCAGGCCACCCCAGCTGGAGCCGAGGAGCGGGGAGGCGTTGGGATAGGCTCTGACTACCCAGCACAGGACAGAGACCAGGAGCCCAAGGCGGGTCCCTGACATTGCTCTGAATGGCTGGCTGGAGTTTGAAACCTGACACTGCCTGTGCCTCCCAGGCCTTTTCCTCCTCTTCTTTGTGGGTATCTGGCCTGCGGATCCTAGCTGGATTCCCTCCTTTTTTCCCTCGGACTTTTAAAGGGTAGCCGTGTGACATCAAACAGGAAAAACTCCACTGTCCACATCCTCTGTGTTGTAACCAGCCCGTTGGAAGAGAATGCAGAGCCCTCCAAGGTTCACGGAAGGCACGTCGTTATACACACGCACACATACACACACCCCTCAATTTCATGCCAGCGCTCCAAAAAATGAATGATGTGTGGGCAAAAGTTATCTATGATTCTGGGTTGTCTGTTGACCTGTCCCACTTCCACCAGGAAATGTGAAGGGAGCCAGCAGTTCTGGAAAAAAAACAAAAAAAACCAAAAAAACACAAAAAATCCAGCTTCGGTCCTGCACTCGACAGACTCCTGTGCAATTAATCTCTCATTGAGTCTACTCATTTTGGTTTTCTCCATCCTTTTAATTCCTATCAGCAACTGTGTATCCGGTGCTTTCTCTGTGCACAGCACCGGGTGGGTGTCTTGAAGGTACAGAAATAATACAGGACACCATCAGGCAGAGAGCACCCTCTGAGATCCTTCTTCATGCAAACAGAGGTCCAAAAGCCCAAGTTGCCACCTTGGGAAGATTTCAAAATAGGAAGAAAGGAAACCAGGCCTTGAGGTCACTGCTGCTCTATGAAATTCTGAGATTTGAGTTCTCAGTTTTCCTAGTTCGGACTGTGTAAGGGCAACTAAACTGGTATTATATTCAACTGTATATAGAGTAACTCAGAGACTTCATGGAAATGGGAAGGCTGGTGGCTGAGAACAGGGGATCAGAACCTGGGAAGGTCCCAGGGGCAGAGCAGCAGGCCAGGGTGTCCCAGTGTTAGTGTCTCCTGGGTGCCTGGCTTCTGGGGCTGGACACTTCCTTGCAGACCCTGCTTACAGGTGTGCACTCTGGGAAGCTACATTTGATGGGGGGGAGAGTGCCGTGCCTGTAGTCCAATGGGGAGCAACTACTGCAACGCATACTAGGAAAATACATACATGAGGACACTGCTCCTCTTCCAATTTTCCGCTCACTGAGTGCATGCAGGCTAGACATCACGGTTGCCAGATGACAGAGCTAGGTGATCTCTGCTTCAGTGAGGTCATGAGCTAACAGAGGAGGCAGAAACCATAAGTAACCATTGCACAAAGCACAATGGAATGTACAATCATACAGGTGCAGACAAGAGATGCCATTTGTTATCCTGTATTTGTGCAGGTTTTTAATGGCTTAGAAAACATTTTAAAATGCTAATTTTTACATCTATTAGCTCATCTGAATTTCACTGCAACCCTGTGAGACAGTCCCACTAGACATTATCAATATTTTGATTTTATATACGAAGAAATGGCAATCGTGGATTCATATGTCCAAAGTCACAAAGCAGTTAAGTGGGAGAGCTAGGACAGGGTCTCCTGGTTCCCTAGGTTGCTTCTCCAGTAATAATCACAATGACAACTTAACACTTACTGAGAGCTTACTAAGTGCTTTCTTTGTAGTACCTCATGTCATCATCATAATAACCCTTTGAGGAGATGCTGCTACCTCCTTTACACAGATGAGGGAACTGATGCCCATGGTTTAAGTACTGTGTCCCCAAGATGTACAGCCAATATGTGGATTGACATTGGATTTGAATTTGGACAGTCCAGCCCCAGACCGCTTAATGACTTGGCTAGATGTGTAAACCCATACAACATGTTAGGGCAAAAGAGCTTGGACCCAGGAATTCAGTAAGAGAGTGCAAGTAGCACCAAGGCATAGTAGTGTCCAGTGTTTCTCTAGCAAACACAGGCCTTTGCTCAGGTTGTGCCTCTAAGATATGGGGTGCTGCCTTCCCAGGTTAGGTAGATGATCTAGGACTTATAAGACAGTCTTCTTTAATAATGATCATAGAATGACCCATAAATATAGTACCACATCTTAGAATTCAGAATTGAAATACAAATCATTCAGGAACATTTGCCAGTGGTGAACTCCACATTTCCTTTTCTGGTTGCAAAAGGTAGGGATGGGAAGTACCGTGAAACAATCAGCGGGTATCAAGAAACGTCTCTGTGCAAGAGAGAAAGGAGGAAGGAGTTCCAGGAATGTTGCAGAACAAACATCCTTGAAGGTCTTTACTATAACTGAGCAGAAGAAAACCTTGTTTAGTACAAAGCATTGTGTGAAAAGAACTAAATTCTTAGATGTGTAAGACATGCTAACAGTGGGGTGCCTGGGTGGCTCAGTTGGTTGAACGTCTGCCTTTGGCTCAGGTCATGATCTCAGGGTCCTGGGATTGAGTACTGCAACAGGGCCATCCCTTCTCAGCAGGGAGTCTGCTTCTCCCTCTCCTTCTGCCTCTCCTGCTTGCTTCTTCTCTCTCTCTCTCAAATATATAAATAAAATCTTTTAAAAATGGAAATGTTAATGACATTCAGAAGAGGATGAGAGCACAAAGGGTGGACACTGTGGTCAAAAAGAGCTTTGAGGGAAGCGGGACTTGAGGGGGCCTTGTAGGATGGACAGAGAAGGGCACTTCCTAGCACCTGCCTGAGTGCAGTGGGAAGGCAATGCAGGTGTCTCAGGAAGTACGTGGTTATTCACTTGTTCCTGTGGTGATTGGAGGGGGACCTCCCTGGTGGCTTCAGCTCATGTTTTTACAAAAGAGAATTGATGTGCCAGCTTAATCCACTTCCAGACTTCTCTCCGAGAAGGAGCCCTGAACACCTACTGGATCTGAAGGCAGAGGACAGTCTAGGACAGTAGACTTACTTCTGACGGGAATGGGTACAGGGCAGGGAGAAGAAGCATTGCCCACTTGGTGACAGCAAAGGAGAGTACAGAATCTCAGAATAATTCTTTCCACTGAGATATGGAAAAATTGAGAGTGGAGGAGAGGATATGCCCATTAGCACACACAGACAGCAGAACGTACAGCTCCGAGCTGAATTCCCTACCAGTGGGTTCCAAACCTGGCGACCCATTAGAATCACCATAACTACCCCAACACTAACCTTAGGCCTACTGAATGTGCAGCCTAACTATTTGCACTTTCCCCCAAAGCTACCTGGGAGATACCACCCACCTTGATGTTGATGATACTAAATGACTTTGCAAGGAGCAAGAGATGTAAAGAAGATTCCTGTATCAGACCTAGGGTTGGAATAGATGAACTCAGGGGCTCTTTCCAACTCTGAGTTTCTAATATTCTGGTCTGACAAAACTTCTCAGGAAAGATGTACTAAAGACAGACTGTCCAGGTGTGTTGTCTTGATGGGTCTGACCAAGCGCATGAACCGTCCATGCATCAATTCTTCCAGCATGTTTCCTGGGGGCTTCAGAGGTACCCAGTTTGCTATCGGTTGGTGATTCCTCTCTGTGGAGCTGAAATTTCCCCTCAGTGGCAGATTAGGCTTGTTGGGAACTGCTTGGCAACATGAGGCCACTGGAATGATTTTAAGGCTTAGGTTTGCGACAAGCTAGATCACAATCCACAGTTGATCAGTTAGCTGTGATTCAAATGAGGGCCCCTTCATGTTCACCTACATATGGGATACTGTGGTAAGAGGGGAGGAGTATGGAAAAAGACAAGGTCTCCTACTTCACAAGAATGTGTCAAAGGTACATCGAGGATACAGAAGAATGCAAGCTGATTCAACCTAGAGCAAATGGAAGGAATGACGGAGTAATCACTGTCTCTGTTTCATTAAAGTAAACTTCTTATGGGAATAATGATTTGTCCTTATTGTTGTACTGAATTGATAGTTTTCTGTGACCTTGCTGTGTAGAATCAAAGGTCCTTAAAACTGTAGCAAGATACATGCACAGGGAAAGCCAGCCATGCCTACCTCTTCAAGTGCTCAATGGATGATGACAGGAGATGAGAGGAGGGACCAAAGTTCTCTGCAGGTATCAGGCAGTTTCCAGAACTCCAGGGGATGTGGTTCAGGAGACAGGAGGTTCAGGAGACAGGGTTCAGGAGACAACATTTGGGAGACCAGGTTGGAGTCTAATGGCAAAAATCTGCACTAAATCTGGATACACTTAATGCATCCAAAGCATCACTTTGAGTCCCAACAATGCACTGAAATTAGTACATAGAGACCAAGCCTGCCTTCAGTGGCCTGCTCGATTTTCCACTTCCTTTCAGGATTTCCAGCCTAAATGTACAGGGTAAGATGTAAAGGAGTCTCTCTAGGGGATTTTAGTTATGAACACTAAATCAGTACACCATACCCCTGAGCAGCCTTTTCCTAGATCCTGGTATGTGTGACATCTCTTTAGAAGCTTCAGAGGGTGAGAGGAGAGTCCAGGGTAAGTTGGTTCCTGCTCTTTGCACCTAGAGGGGATCAAGGTGAGGGAAAAAACAGGAGCTGGGTCCCAAGGTGGCTCACTGTTTTCTTTTCTGTTTGACACTCTGTCTAAAAGCTCCATCTACAGATGGTAGGATTACAGACCCCTGCTCACTCGCTATTCCTGCCTCTTCATAGCTTTGTTTCCATCATTCACTGTCTTCACTCCCTGGGCTCAGGGAGATGGATTTCTAAGCCATCCTGGACAAATAGTGGTTTCTTCTCTTCTCAAAGTTGTCTGGGGAAGGTGCTCCAGCCTTCCTGAAAATGCCACTCCTGTATCTTGTTTTCCTGACAGTTAAAACATGCTTCCTGGGTGCCTGGGTGGCTCAGTGGGTTAAGCCTCTGCCTTCGGCTCAGGTCATGATCTTGGGGTCCTGGGATCGAGTCCCGCATTGGGCTCTCTGGTTGGCAGGGAGCCTTCTACCTCCTCCTCTCTCTCTCTCTGCATGCCTCTCTACCACTTGTGATCTCTGTCTGTCAAATAAATAAATAAAATCTTTAAAAAAAGATTTCTTTCTAAAAAAACAAACAAAAACCCCCCCAAAACGTACATGCTTCCTTAGAAGTTTGAGAGGGCAAGGGGAAGGCTTTGGGTAAGTCAGTTCCTGTCCTTTGCACCTAGAGGGTGCAGATTCTCTCTTGTCCTAATGTATTCATTCAATCAACACATAACTATTTACAGAAAGCCAATTTTATGGCTAGTGTTTTGTAGAAAATCTTTAGGGAAGCCTAAGAATGGAAAAAAATAT